ATAGGAGAAACTCCGGAAATAACAATCTAATGGGTTCTGATCTAAGCACTTACATATGTTAACTTATTTAATCATCACAAGGACCCATTTTACAGATGAGAACACTGAGGCAGGGAGAAGTTAAATAACTGGTCCCAGTTCACACCACCAGTATGTGGTAGTGCTATGACTCAAGGGCAGGCTTTTCAGATCATGAGGGAATCTCACAGACACGTGTGAGTATGTTCCATTGAGCCTATATTCAATTACATAACCTCTAAATTTTAGCATCTGTTTTACCGCTCCTTGCTCAGAATATGCACAATGAATTCAGACATCTCTGACTTACAATGCTTGGACTTAGGATTTTTCAACTTTACAGTGGTGCGAAAGTGATACACATAAGAGGTTATGTGAAATATTCAACATTTTATTATAAAATGGGCTTTGTGTTAGATGATTTTGCCCAACTGTTGGCTAATTTAAAAGTGTTCCGAGCACGTTTAAGGTAGGCTGGACTAGGCTGTGAGGTTCGGTGGGTTAGGTGTATTAGGTGCATTCTGACTTATGGTGGGTGTGTCTGCACGGAACCCCATCACAAGGCGAGGAACATCTGTATTTGTTCAATTGAGGTCTCACTGGGCAGTTTGTGTTGGGCCGTAAATATCTGGTAGGTGAAGGCTGGATGAATCCAACCCAAAAGAGACAGAGCTTGTGTGTTCAGTAACAGGCTGACACTCCATGTCGGTGACTGCCATGGTGAGGGTGAGGAAGCCAAGAACTCGGGGTTCTGCTCCCCACTCTCCCACACTCATGACTACAGAGGCAGGGAGCCTGGCCCTTCTTGAGGGACGGAGCTGGTCAGTCTCTCTCCAAACCTCCAGTGATGCGGGGATGGGGGGGGGGCGGGGCTGTGCTGCACTTAGGAGACACCCCACCCCTTGCTAACCCAGAACTGCCTGCCTCCTGCATCAACTTTTCAAACCGAACGATGGTGCCTGTCGTTTCTTCCTTCACTTTTATAAGCAAAGGAAGGAGAGGAAAGAAATCCCAGGAGGTCTCGAGGCAGAAACAGGCGAGGGCTCTGCCCCCTGCGAGGCCCTGCATCCTGGCACTAATCCACAGGAGAGGGGGCCTCACAACCCACCAGGCCGCCCCGGGGCACGGGGTGTCCTAGAGAAGCAGGTTCTCGCCCCTTAGGGGCCCGCATTGGGGAAGACAAGAGCTACTCAAGTGCTTTACAGGGGAGGACCCTGCATGCTGTGGACGTCAGGGGGACTGCGGATCAGGCCGGAGTTTTGAGCACATGCCTAGGAGGACCATGGGTATAAACTAGCCCAGTGCATCAGGGACAGAGAAGGCAGCGGAGTTGGTAGCGGGCATTGTGCAGAGCAGAGGGGGGAGATTAGGGAGCCCTGCCCGATGCTCCTTGGACCAGTGTGAGATTCATGTTGCCTCCATTCCCCGGGCACATGGCTCCCACTGCTCTCCAGCCGTCTGTGCTACTGGCTGCCCAGCCACTTCTAACAAATGTCCAGAGAAGCACAGCACAATCTCTTTCCTGCTATTTAGGAACACACCCTGTGGACTGAAAGCCGCCCCTGTCTTGTTTCCTTCTCCCCAGAGTCAGAGCGGAGCCTCTCACAGCTCACCGTTTGGTTTGGGTCAAGCCTCACTCAGCAGCAGCTGGCCCTGTGATGACCATCACCCCCCGCCCCATGCTCCCGCCCTCCTCAGATCCTGGCGGGGCCATCCCTTCTCCCTTCCTGGAGGGGCCTGGGCCCACCCAGCCATTAATTTGCAAATGGGCCACTTTCTGCTTCAAAGGGAAGATGATTATTTTTCTGAGATCTGCAGTTTTTAAGTATTCTCAAATGACTAGCCAAAATCAATCTGAGATCTAAGAGTTTGGTTCATGTTGTGTGTGGATTCTCAACTTCCATCTTTATGACAAGACCCAGTGAGTGGGCAGATGAAGGGGGGGGGAGAGGAGAGGGAGCATACAGGCCACGTTACTCCTGTTTTTATTTGTTTCTTAACTGAACTGCGGCTGGTAATTTTTATCTTTCCTTCCTCCTCCCCTTCCACTCATTTTCCCAAAGCCCCTGTGTAATTCATTCTCCCTTCCTCACTCAGGCGGGGCCAGCAGCATGTCCAACCCTGGGCCTGGCAAGGGGAGTGGGGGGGAGGCCCACCAAGGAAAAGCCCCAGACAGAGGGTGCTGTGCGGTCAAGGGTCTCTCTGCAGTGCAGACTCGGGGTTCAGGGGGTTCAGGAGGGAGGATGGGTGCAAGTTGCAATAGTCAGGAGGGCTTCCCAGGGAGGGGGCTGAGGGGGAAGAATAGCAGGATCCCCAGGGCCACATGTCTAGTGGTGGATAGGGGTGAACTGGCTGTCACCCCTGAAACCCCGGGGTTCATAGGTGTCCTCTTCTGTTGGATGGGCACCTTCCCGCAAAGAGAGTGACCTTGTGAGATAGCGGGTGACTACAAGGCAGGTAGTCTGGCCCCCTGGCTGCCCATCATCTGTGCAGGGTGACCAGCCAAGCCACCCTGGCTACTGCTAGCCACTCCTTCCTAATTGCCCCATTATTGTAAATAATATCTTCCCATCCGAACAATTAGCTTCCTGGTCTTGAAGCTCCCAGTTTGTTTTTTCTGGTTCTGAAGCTCTAACGTTGGAAACACAAACACATCCGGCATCTGCCTGTGGTTGCCCTGCAACCAGCAGGCCCCTAATGCTCTCACAGCCCCCACAGGCCTGCCCCTGCCCCTCCCCGGCTCCTCTCTCCCCCTGCCGCTGGGAGGAAGGAGGAGCCAGCTCTGCCTAAAGTGTCTGAAACAGCAGGAAAAGAGGGAGGGGACTGGGCTGGGCGGCTGGAGCTTCCTCCAGGATCTGGGAGGAGATCTTTAAAAACAAACCCCAGCCCTTCCTCCCGTGATGTTCGGAGTAGCTGGTCCAAGGGAGGGAAAGTCGGGAAATGGCTCCAGTCAGAAAGGGCTCAGCTATGAGCAGTGTGGCAGTGATGGTGACGACAGTAACAATATACCCCTTCTGGTATTATTTGCACTCCGTGTACCACTTTACACATCATCTTCAGGCATGTACATCAGATCCTTCCAATAAGTTCAGGAGGAGATGGGGGGCGGGCAGGTCTTATCTCTACTTGCAACAGAGAAACCAAGGCTCAGAGAGTCTGCTCGATCCACCCAGGGTCCTTGGAGGATACTTTGGGCAGGTGGGTATTGAGAGGGGTTGAGGTAGGAGATTAGGTGAGTGAGGCAGGTGGGGAGGTGGGTGAGGCAGGTGATTAGGTGGCTGGGTAGTTCGGAGGTCGACAGGAAGACCAGATGACTTCAGCCAACATGCATCTCTCCCCTCCTGGCCTCTCAGGGCAGAGACCACCTGCCCCATAGGAAGCAGTTAGTTGTGTTTTAAATGAAGCCAGTGCCAGTTCACTAATTATCCCCGAGGGTCTCGCCTCCTCCGTGGAGGGAAACCAGCTTCCCCTCTGTCTCTCTCGTCACTCCCGTGACTGTGTTTCTGGAGCTAAAACAGACATCTGGTCTGAGGAGGAGGAATGCTCCTTAGCTGTGAGGCGAGCTTGGTTACTGTCCCGCTGGGTCCGGGACGAACTGAGCGCCCAGCCATGGCCAGCAGGGCCTGCCGGGGCTGCACGGGAGGCAAGGGCACGCCTGCCCTTCCTCCCGGTTCTCTAGGATGTCCTGGGAGCTCCGCGGGGAGCGCCAGCCCAGCTCCCTCCTCTGCACCTGGTTGTTAGTTCCAGCACGTTCCCCCTCGCAAGGCCCCCCAGCCAAGGCTGCCTGGAAAACTCCACCGGGAGCCTGTACAGGACACCTTGGGTCTAATGTAACATTTAATGGCCAAATCTCCGCAGGCCCCTGCATTAATGCAAAACTATCACACTGAGTCTCTCCAGACAGACGCACACTGCAAACAGCTCTAGGGCGCAGCCGAGGCAGAAGGAGGTAATGAAGGAGGTGGTGGCCACTGACACCTTGAGTGGCAGAAGGGGCCATTCCCAAGGCCAGTGGTCTGCTCGTGACCTCTGAAGGCAGGCCCTGTCGTGTTCATCTCTCCATCCCGGGCACCTGAGGCAGGGTCTTACACACAGCAGGCATTTAATACATGGTGGCTGAAGGAATGTATGAATGAATGGGCCACTGTGCTTAAGATGCAGGGGTCTTGGGAACAGAGAGTTCCCTAGTGACATGCAAAGATGGACCTACCCCTTCCCTGGCCCCCCAGCCCAGAGCAGAAATGACATGATTCTGCCTGAACCCTGCTTCCCAGACCTGCCCGAAAGGCTTTGTTTGCACCCCGACATGGGAGCTTCAGGGTTTGGGGGGATGGGGGTGCGGTGGGGGAAAGCTTCCTGAAGGAGCCTATGAAGATGGCCATGCAGGTGTGGAGGTCCCCAAGGAGTCCAGCATGGCCAGCCCCCAGGGCCCTGTAAGGCTGGGAAGGAAAGACCCCTTGAGAGAAGAGAGCCCAGGACACCAGAAGAGACAGGCCAACGGGACACCATTGCAGGGCTGTGGATGTGCAGGGGGGAGTGGTCAGCCCTTTGGGCTCCCAGTTATTATACACACATGCACATGTGTACACACACACACACACACACACAGTTACATGCACAATTAGAAAAAAGGCCTCCGGAAATTGCCCTAACATGGTCCTGCTCTGAGTTTTGGAAACCCTGCCTCCAGGTCCCGTCTATGCCCCCTCTGCTCCTCAAGGTAAAACGAGCTGTTCTCCGCCAGTGCTCCCTGCATCCAGACCCCGGTTCCGTTCTGGCTGTGCCTCCTGCCAGCTGCTCAACCTTGCACACGTCCCTTTGCTTCTCCGAGCCTCAGTTTTCTCACCTGTAAAATGAAGGGCGGGCCTGGAGAGTCCCTCAGGCTCTCAAGAGCCTCAGCTCCTAGCAGCAGGGGCTGCTGGGCTCTCAGGTGGAGGCAATTTCCCAGATCACTGAGCCCCACCTGGCCACCATCGTGCGAGGGCCTCCCCTGGGCATTGGCCGTCTGGAAACACCGCCATCCATCTTTGTGAATATCTGGTTAAAACACTCACCTAATCCTAACCTAATCCTTTCAATTTGGGGAGAGAATTGAAGAAAAAAAACGCAGGCAGCCTGAAGCCTGAATGCTAACAGATGGGTAAAAAGTATGTATAAATTACACCCGCTGCTGTCAATTCAAGCTCTCCAGATAAAGTGATATGAAAGGTGTTTCATTTATAGGGGAAATTAATTGCCAGCTGTATGACTGGATGGTGTGAAGAAACCACAGCCACATGACGTGTCCCATATATTTTCCTGGCTGGATCCAATACCTTCTGTGCCAAGGGCTCCTGCTCGACTCCAGACTTGGGGAGAGGGGGCACCAGGGCAAACATGACCCTAAAGCAATCATTCCCAAGTTAGGGTGCAGCCGGGGGAGCTTCAAGCTTGGTGGAGGCACAGGGCATCGAGAGGTAGGCTGCCACTCCCCCCACCAGCCCTGATCTCTCTGGCCTCAGTTTCCTCGTCCGTCAGGGCAACTGCCTGAGCTACATTTATCTGTAAAGACACGCCTTCTACTCCACCTGTGCCCTCAGCATAGACATGGCAGCCCTCTCTGCGCCCCGCCCACCTTGCCAAGCACCCCACCATGGACACTCAGTCCGCGTGTCAGTGGGTAACACAGGCACCTGGACGCCAGTCACATCACTGTTCTGTGACCACCGTGCTCTGCACTTGGGCCG